AGAATCATCAGCATGATGATGATGATCATCATCAACAACATTAGTGTCACCATCATCACCATCACCACCATCATCGTTATCAGCATCAGCATCATCAGCTACAGCAGCATCATCAGCAGCAGCAGCATCATCAGCAGCAGTAGCATCACCATCATCAGCAGCATCGTCATCATTAGCATCATCATCATCCCCACCTCCATCATCATCATCATCATCAGCAGCATCAGCAGCAGCAGCAGCAGTAGCATCATCAGCATCAGCATCATCCGCATCATCAACATTATTAGCATCACCACCTCCACCACCACCATCAGCATCATCATCAGCAGCATCATCATAAGCAGCATCGCCATTGTTATCATGATCAGCATCAGCATCAGCATCAGCATTATCATCATCATCAGCATCATCATCAACATCAACATCATCATCATCATCATCATCATCATCATCATCATCATCATCATTATCATCATCACCATCACCATCATCCCACTCCCCCAAAGGTACCTCCTCCCCTTGCTACGCCATCATCATGAACCTACTCATCACATCGCCATCGTCATCGGTATCGCTGCCGTCATTATCCTATGCGTCCTAGCCACCACCACTCCCGCCACCATACCTGTCGCGATCCTCCTAGTAATGATCATCAGCATCATCATCATCATCATCATCATCAGCAGCATCACCACCACCACCATCATCATCATCATAAGCATCAGCATTAGCATCATCAGCATCAGCATCAGCATCATCATCAGCAACAGCATTTCCCTTTGTTCCTCTTCCTCTATCAAGTTCCTCTGGCTACCTCATCACCATCACAATCACCATCATAATCATCAATCCATCTTTCCCCGACTTCCTCGAATGCCCTTGCTCAGCGACAATGAGCATTGCTCGACGAAGACGACGACGACGACGACGACGACGACTCCCTCGAAGAGCATCGCTCGACAACGACGACCTGCGCGAAGAGATGACGCTGACCACCTGGCCCTCGGAGGGTTCCTGGAGCTCCTTGCCCTCTCTCTCGAGCTCGGACTGGAGAGCCTCCTCGTTCCTCTGCCTCTCCTCGTCGGGGGGGGCGCGGAGGACGAGGAGGAGGAGAAGGAGGAGGAGCACGAGGGGATGGAGGAGGAGGAGGTTCCATAGAAGCTGAGGGGAGGAACGATAAAAGGGTGCTAAGAGCTGCTGGGGGGTCCTCTGCCCCGCATCGCTGAGGGGGCGTACCGCAGGAGAACAGAAATTGCATACGATGCGAAATTGAACCGTCAGAACAACAGGGGCCTATTTTGGCATAGGCCTACATGAAACTACGCTGTGTGCCCCGGAATCCCGTCGCTGGGCCCATCGCAGAATGAGAAACTTCCATGTGGCATCAGCCAGCACGCTGGTTTCTAATGTGATGAGCCTCTTGCACCCGCAGTGTACGAATCCAGCCTGCAAAAGAGCTTAGCGCAGCGAGGCGGAGAGGAGATGAGGTGCACCAGATGGTGCACTTCAGACTGTACGAACACACTCGGAAGAGGATCCTGAAAAATAGTGTTCAGGTGGCCGCATGAAGGCGCACGCGGAAGCACGCTGCGTCCACCTCCTCCTCCTCCTCCTCCTCCTCCTTCTCCTTCTCCTCCTCCTCCTCATCCTCCTCCTCCTGCTCCTCCTCCTCATCCTGCTCCTCCTCCTCCTCTTCTTCCTCCTCCTCCTCCCCCTCCTCCTCCTCCTCCGCCTCCTCCTCCTCCTCCCCCCTCCTGCTCCCCGTCCTCCTTCTCCTCCGCTTCCTTCTCATCCTCCTCCTCCTCATCTTCTTCCTCCTTCTCCTGCTCATCCACCTCCTCCTCCTCCTCCTTCCCGCCTCTCCTCCTCCTCCTCCTCCTCCTCCTCCTCCTCCGCCTCCTACTCCTCCTCCTCCTCCTTCTCCTCCTCCTCCGACTCCTCCGCCTCCTCCTCCTCCTCCTCTTCCTCCTCCTCCGCCTCCGCCTCCTCCTCCTCCGTTCCTTCTCCGTATAAACAACCTCTCCCTGTCGCACCACGAGGCCAGTTTTTAGGGCGGGTGGGGCGTTTCGCCTGAGACCTCCTCACCATGTATGACTCTGAAGCTTACAAAGTGGCAACAGTTTCACAAACGGAGGGCGGGTCGTTTTCAAACTGTGGCTCTCGCCATAGCGCCGCGCACACTCTTCTTAAACAGTTGCGAGAGATTCACGGATTGAGGGCAGGTCGTTTTCAAAATGTGGCTCTCACCTTAGCGCCGCGCACATTCGTTCTCAAATGTGTAAGAGCTTCACCGATGTATAGCGGGAGGTTTTCAAAATGTGGCTCTCGCAAAAGCACCGCGCACATTCGGTTTAAAAAACTGCAAGAGATTCACGGATTGAGGGCCGCTCCTTTTCAAAATGTGGCTCTCGCCTTAGCGCCGCGCACATTCGTGTACAACATTTTCAAAAGCGTCACGGATTCCCATCAACAATGTATCAGCAATGGTGTTTTGGATTCAGGATTATGCGGGCGCAGCAGTTACGTTGATTCTTTGTGCTGAAGTCCTAGGAATTGCGTTCTGGCACGATCCAGGATCGTCAAGACGCACCAGTCAGGTTGATCCGTGGCGTTGGAATCCCGAGAACAATGTTTTGGCATGCTTCAGGATCTTCAAACGGGTGTCTTCCAGCGAGGCAGTTCCATCAATGGAAATGAACCGTCGTAAGGGCCTACGAAAAGGGAGCTTGGAGGGAGGGTTCACCCCAACATCGTTGATGACTCTTGAACTTATGCTGGTCCTCATCATCCTCCTTCTCCTCCTCACCCTCCTCCTGCATTCCTTCTCCCTGTCGCACCCCGAGGCTAAGTTTTCGGGCGGGCCGAGCCTTTCGCATCAGACCTCCTCACCATTCAAGACCCCGGAACTCTTAAACCGACAACAGTTTCACAAACAGAGGGCGGGTGGTTTTCAAAATGTGGCTCTCGCCTTAGCGCCGCGCAGACTCGCCTTGAAAAAATGAAAAAAAGTGTTTCTCGGATTGAGGGCGGGTGGCTTTCAAAATGTGGCTCCCGCCTTAGCGCCGCGCATTTTCGTCTTAAAAATGTGCAAAAAGTATTTCTCGGATTGAGGGCGGGTGGTTTTCAAAATGTGGCTCTCGCCTTCGTGCCGCGCACATTCGTTCAAAAATTTGCCAGAGCTTCACGGATTGAGGGCGGCTCCTTTTCAAAATGTGACTCTCGACTTAGCTCCGCGCACATTTATTTTCAAAATTTGCAAGACTTTTACGGATTCCTGTGTTCGACATACCGAACATGGTGTCTTTTTTTTGGGGGGGATTCAGGATTGAGGGCGCAACAATAACGTTGATTCGCTGTCGAAATCTCAGGAATGGTGTCCCGGCACAACCCAAGATCGTCAAGACGCAACAGCCAGGTTGATCTGTGGCGTCGGAATCCCGAGAACATTGTTTTGACATGCTACCGGGTCTTCCAACGGGTGTCCCCCAACGAGGCAGTTTCCCCAGCGGGGATGAACCGCCGTAGGGGCCCACGAAGAGGGAGCCGGGAGGGAGGGTTGATTCCAACATCGTTGATGACTCTTGGGTTTCCACTGGCCCTCCTCCTCCTCCTCCTCCTCCTCCTCCTCCGCCTCCTCCTCCTCCTCGTCTTCCTCCTCCTCCTCTTCCTCCTCCTCCTCCTCCTCCTCCTCCTCCTCCTCCTCCTCCCTGTGCCAGAACTCATAAGGGCAAGTTTCGGGCCTCCGTGGATGCCCGAGGACTTCGGTAAGTTGCTCTGGCTCAATGATCCCGTGGTGATTGGTTGTCTTCTCTGCCTCCCCCTTACCTCTCACTATCCTCCTCGTTGTGATCTTCCCCGCCCTGCTCCAGGGAAGGGGGAGGGAAACGAGGGAAGGCTGCGTGGAGATGCGCCGCTTCCTCCTCCTCCTACTCCCCGCCCTCCTCCTCCTCCTCATCATCATATCCTCCTCCTCATCATCCTTCTCAGAATCATCATCATCATCATCAGCAGCAGCATCATCATCAGCAGCAGCAGCATCATCAGCAGCGTCATCATCAACAACATCAACAACATCATCATCCTTATCATCAATATCATCACATCAGCAGCGGCATCAACATCATCAGCGTCAGCATCATCATCAACAGCATCAGCATCCTCACCATCATCAGCAGCATCATCAGCATCATCATCATCGTCATCGTCATCAACAGCAGCAGCATCATCAACAACATCATCATCATCAACACCATCGTCATCATGACCATCATCATCACCACCATCACCACCACCACCAACAACACCATCATCATCAGCATCATCACCAGAATCATCATCATCATCATCATCATCATCATCATCATCACCATCACCATCATCATCATCACCATCATCCTCAGAATCATTATAAGCATCATCATCGTCGTTATCAATGTCATCCGTCACAAAATCAGAATCATCATCATCATCATCACCATCGTCATCAGCATCATCCTCATCATCGCCACCATCATCATCATCATCATCATCATCATCATCATCATCATCATCATCGTCAGCATCATCAGCAGCATCATCATCATCGCCGTCATCATCAGCATCATCCTCATCACCATCACAATCACCATCACCATCACCATCGCCACCAGCATCATCGTCACCATCACCACCACCATCGTCATCATCATCATCACCGTCATCAGCATCATCATCACCACCATCATCGTCATCAGCATCATCATCGACATCATCAGCATCATCATCACCAGCATTATCATCCTTATCATCATCACGATCATCATCAGCATCATCATTTGTTTTACTGAGACCGACCTATGGCAGCCAAGTCAAAATGGATTCGAGCAGCAAGCCATTAGGATCAAAAGCTCGACGTGTGGACCCCGCTCGCGCCAAGGTTCGCAAAACGTGCGCGCGCGGCAGAGCTAACGGTGCGCCTGCTTCCACAGTGACCCTCCTCCTCCTTCTGCTCCCCCCCCACTCCACCTCCATCTCCTCTCCCTGCGGAAGCTCGGCCCGCGGATCCGCCCAATCGGCGGACCCGCTTGCCGAAAAACTGAAAACTTGCATAATACACATGTTAACGGTGACCCAGCCGCGGTGGGAATCCTGTGGAGACATCTCTCCTCCAGGGCCTCGCCCCCCGGAGGCCGCTGCGGCCGCGAGCGGAAGGGGGCCCCGCAGGGGCGGAGGCGAGCGGGGGCGGGTGGTCGGCGGGCGGGCCTGTCAGCGGTGCGTCCCGAGGGCGGGCGGCTCGGCGGACGCGCCCAAGACACCGCACAGACCGCCATCAATCCCACGTTGCCTCGGCAAGCCGGGCCGTGCGGAACTCTGCGAGGACTCCGTCGCGCCCTGCGCCGATCAAGCTGGCGGAGTTCATGGAGCGGTCGGTCTCCTCCGTGACGTCACTCGGCTCCGCGTCGGAGCAGATGCACATCATGTCCCTGTTGACGAGGCTGGCCCCCGCCTCGTTGTCGTTGATCGACCCGCCAGGTGCACGACTGCTGGCGCGCTGCTCTTTGATCTTCTGCCATCTCACCTTCCAGCTCGGCACAGCCTTGGGGCCCGCCTTCTTGTCCAACCCGTCCCTATGACGCTGGCACTCAGGTGTGACATCCTCCAGCGACTCGGCATGCGCATCAAACCCAAGCAGGCCACCAATGTCTGCACGCCCGAGTGCGCTCAAGCGCCGCACAGCCAAATTCAGATGCTCCTGCAATGGTAGGTCTTGACGGACGATGATCATGGCGGAGGTATCGCTCATCTTGTTCTGCATCATGACCTGAAGTTCCCCAGCTATGGTCGGCAATCCCTCCTTCACGCCCTTCTTGGTGCGCCACTGCGACTTGGACATTGTCACCGTGACGCCATCTCGGGCCTGCTGCTCGAACAGGGCGGTCTTCCCATCGGCCCAGTCCTCGAGTCTCGACCAGGGAGCTTCGCGAGATGCGCCCCGCTCAATCACTCGGAGGCCCAAGAACGAGTCGCTTTCGTTCTTGGAGTGCGACCGCAGGTAGGAGCGCACCTGCACGACGATACCGCCGAACCAAGCACCCGAGAGCTCAACCGCAGTGATGTACGTGGTGCATGGCTTCCCGTGCTCGGGGCGGATGGTGGCCTGGAGCTCCACCTCGGCGGTCCTGTCAGCGGCCTGCGGGATGCGCAGCAGAGTGAACTCGCCGCCGTGGTTGACGTCGAAATGCTCGCCTTGAAGATTGACCAGGTGCGGGTCACCCTTGGCCGACACCGTCGGGGCCGGGGTCGGCAACGGAGAGGCTGGGGGTCCAATGCAGCACCCGCCGTCTCCGAAGCCGCTGCCTAGGTAGGGATCGATAACGGTGTTGCTCCCAGCGCACTGCTCGTCACACCTGTACCCGAAATCGCAGATTTCAATGCCGCATCCGCAAGGATACTGCTCGCTGAGTCCGACACCGTTGGTGCTCGAGCAGGCCGAGACGATCGCGTCGTACTTGTTGAACCCCGCGTGCACTCCGTGGTCGAGGATAAAGAAGGGCCCACCTCTGCGGAGCAGAGACTCGTGGTATGGCGACAGCCTCTCGCTGTCATCGAAGCCGATCTTGTCGGTGATGACCAGTCTCTCGAAGTGCCCAGGGTTGCGTGTGGACATGGTGATCCCGTCGCCCTTCTGCAGCACGCGGCCGCTGTCGTCGAGGGCCTTGTTGACGAAGACGACGTCGGACCCAGTTGATATGGGCTCGGTGAGCCATACCCCCGAGATGCAGTTGTCGAAGTCGCCCAGGTCTTCTTTGCCAGGGGCGCAGTCAGTGCATGCCTCCGAGCGGCGTCGCCGAGTGGAGCCCGTGGTGCACTGCTGGCAGACGCTGGTGCCCTCCAGAAAGTAGTATCCGTAGTCACACTCAGCGGGACCCCCGATTGGGAACCTAGACATGTCTTTCGAGTATGGAGAATTGCCACACTCTGCCTGGGTCACGCATCCATCCCCGTTCTCGTCCATCTCGGTAAAGTGCCCGTTGAGATTCTCGTCCTTGTTCACCTCCGCTTCCACAAGGCACTCATCACCATCCAAATCAAGGTAAGAAAACGAGCCGCACGCGTCGTCACAAACGCACGGTGCCCCGGGCTCCATCGTCGGCGACGGAGTCGGGAGGATCTCCTCGTAAGTGATCGTCACCGTCATGTTGAGGCCTTGGCCGTCGCATGCCACCAACCAAGTTGTGTTCCCCAATGGGACACCATTAGAATCTGAACTACCATGATGCCCGAAATAAGCGCAGCCCGCATCAGAATCTAAATCCATAGTTGCTGTCATGTTTGGTTCTTCAGAGTCCAGAATCCACCGCGGCTGTGCGTACTTCAGAGGCCGGTCGATGCCATCACACGAATAGTCCCAATATATGTAATTGCCGTCGGTGTTGCTGTACACTGGCGCTCCGCTTGCACTGCTCCCGTAAAACACGAAGTAAGGGCTGCCGATAGAAGTCGTCAGGCACGGCCACTCTACCTTCAGAATGCCCGGAGGAGAACACGAAAAGCCTCGCCTGTCACCTGAGCAGACCTCGTTTGTAACGCACATGTCAGGCCCGCACTGACACGGGTAGAAAGAGCTCGGAGACGATCCATCGGTGACGTCGCACGGCTCAACTGAAGACGTAGGTGCAGGAGTGGGCGCAGGGGTCGGTATCCTGTTGAAGTTGACACTAAGGGCTCCTTGCGGGATTGGATTGGCACAGGTGGTGTTGGAGTCATGCCCATTCGTTGACCCACACTCTGCATCGTAAAGATAGCACCCGCCTTTCCAGACTGACAGGAAGGGGTGAAGACCAATGGACTTGCAGTTTGGGTACAAGGAACACTCCGAGGCACATAACTCGAGAGTCTCGAACTCTTCCGAATAGGCTTTGATCTCTGCTCCGCACTCGCAATTTTGGCCGCTTTGCACGTATCCAGGGTAGGTTGAAACGAGTAGGTCATCCAATTGGATTACTGTTGGCGCTGGAGTTCCGACCTGCTGCTCAGCTCGCTGCTGTGACTTCGGCGCTGCAGCTGCACATGGCTTGGGGCACACGCCGGAGAGCCTGGCTGTGCCGTGCAGGTGTTGCTGGAAGTCCTCGAAGCTGGAACTTCTCGTCAGAGGGCGATAGTACTCTGGGTGCTGCTGGATGCCCGTGCGCATCGCCCACATGACCTTGTCGAAACACTCGTCGCCCGTGACGCTGGTGCGGCACTCCGCTGCCTGTGCAGGCGCTTGCTCCTCTGACTTCGGCGCTGCACATGGCTTGGGGCACACGCCGGAGAGCCTGGCTGTGCCGTGCAAGTGTTGCTGGAAGTCCTCGAAGCTGGAACTTCTCGTCAGAGGAAGGTAGTACTCTGGGTGCTGCTGGATGCCCGTCCGCATCGCCCACATGACCTTGTCGAAACACTCGTCGCCCGTGACGCTGGTGCGGCACTCCGCTGCCGGTGCAGGCGCTTGCTCCTCTGACTTCGGCGCTGCACATGGCTTGGGGCACACGCCGGAGAGCCTGGCTGTGCCGTGCAAGTGTTGCTGGAAGTCCTCGAAGCTGGAATTTCTCGTCAGAGGGCGATAGTACTCTGGGTGCTGCTGGATGCCCGTCCGCATCGCCCACATGACCTTGTCGAAACACTCATCACCCTCAACCGAGGTGTGGCAACCCTGCTGCGGCATCCAGATTCCACTGCCGTGCAACACGCCAGCCTGTTGCATCTGCATAAGCTGCATGTCTGCGTGCTCGCTGGAAACAGCAGCTACAAACCCCATCATGCATAATGCCACATGGAAATCCGCCATTCGTGCTCTGGAGGTGGAAGCTGTACGCAATATGTTGATGAAAGCGCAGTTCGATATCGGCAGCTTTACGGACCTGTTCGTTTTGCTTGAGCCCAAATGGGCTCCGGACATCATCATCATCATCATCATCATCATCATCATCATCATCATCATCATCAGCATCATCATCATCATCATCAGCAGCAGCATCATCATCATCATCACCATCATCATCATCAGTAGCATCATCATCGTCATCAGCAGCATCGTCATCACCAAAATCATCATCATCAGCATCAATACCATCGTCGTCATCATCATCAGCAGCAACGTCATGATCCTCATGATTAGCATCATCAGCACCACCATCATCATCATCACCATAAGCACCATCAGTATCATCACCATAAGCACCATCATCATCATCATCATCATCATCATCATCATCATCATCATCATCATCATCATCATCATCATCATCGCCATGACCATCACCGTCACCATCACCATCATCATCAGCAGCAGCAGCAGCATCATCATCAATATCACCATCAGCATCAGCATTTGCATCAGCATCAGCGGCATCATCCGCTGCATCATCATACACATCCTGACCCTCTTCCGCCCACTCCCCCTGCTCACCGAGAAAGGGAAAGAGAAGGGAAAATAGTTAGAGATCAATGGGAGAAGAGAGAGAGAGAGAGAGAGATGTGAGGGGAGCACAGAAAGACATAGAGAAGGGTATCGAAGTACATGTATGTGCTAGACAGAGACAGAGGGGGGCTTGAATAGTGGAGGGAGGCAACAGAGGGAGGAAGGATGACGGGAGGAACTCAGAAAGAATTCCCAAACCGTGTTTGCACGCATGGGTTCTTGCGGGCCGGTCTGGCAGCTATGTAGTTGCCGTCGCCGCATCGTAGCCGCCTCGTCGCCGCCCGTAGTCTGAGCCTGCGGGCCGACCTGGCGGCTATGTGGTTGCTGTCGCCGCCTCGTCGCCGCCCGTGGTGTGAGCCTGCGGGCCGGTCTGGTGGCTATGTAGTTGCCGCCGCCGCCCCGTCGCCGCCTCATCGCCCTCCGCCGCCTGGGCCCGACGGTCGGTCTGGCGGCTGAACTTAGGATCTACCACGCACAGACGCCTTTTATCGGCCCTCCCTGGGCTAGTACGGTTCACATACGAACCAGCCCCATCGTTCACTCTCAATACGAGTTCGCCACATCCCCGCTGAACCCTCAATCGCGCTCCCCTCATCTGTACAAGTAATACTACGCGCGCACACCCGTTGATCAAAATTCAACAGTGAGAAACGAAACCAAATCACACACGCGCGACGTCGCGCGCGCGCATGCCAGAACCCTGGTTTAAGGCATAAGTTTAGTGAGTATTCCAAGATCTGGGCCCCAAAAATATGAACCAAAAAACCAATGGTTGAGCAAATGATGCTTCATAGACAACACCAAAAACAACCGCAACGACGAAAATCACGCGCGCTGTCGCAAATGCTTTCGCAGACTGTATGTGCTCCACCATGTTCATCACATGCGACTAATCGGGCCTCTCGCGCACGCATGCGACTAATCCTTTTCAAAATGTGACTCTCGACTTAGCTCCGCGCACATTTATTTTCAAAATTTGCAAGACTTTTACGGATTCCTGTGTTCGACATACCGAACATGGTGTCTTTTTTTTGGGGGGGATTCAGGATTGAGGGCGCAACAATAACGTTGATTCGCTGTCGAAATCTCAGGAATGGTGTCCCGGCACAACCCAAGATCGTCAAGACGCAACAGCCAGGTTGATCTGTGGCGTCGGAATCCCGAGAACATTGTTTTGACATGCTACCGGGTCTTCCAACGGGTGTCCCCCAACGAGGCAGTTTCCCCAGCGGGGATGAACCGCCGTAGGGGCCCACGAAGAGGGAGCCGGGAGGGAGGGTTGATTCCAACATCGTTGATGACTCTTGGGTTTCCACTGGCCCTCCTCCTCCTCCTCCTCCTCCTCCTCCTCCTCCGCCTCCTCCTCCTCGTCTTCCTCCTCCTCCTCTTCCTCCTCCTCCTCCTCCTCCTCCTCCTCCTCCTCCTCCTCCTCCCTGTGCCAGAACTCATAAGGGCAAGTTTCGGGCCTCCGTGGGTGCCCGAGGACTTCGGTAAGTTGCTCTGGCTCAATGATCCCGTGGTGATTGGTTGTCTTCTCTGCCTCCCCCTTACCTCTCACTATCCTCCTCGTTGTGATCTTCCCCGCCCTGCTCCAGGGAAGGGGGAGGGAAACGAGGGAAGGCTGCGTGGAGATGCGCCGCTTCCTCCTCCTCCTACTCCCCGCCCTCCTCCTCCTCCTCCTCATCATCATATCCTCCTCCTCATCATCCTTCTCAGAATCATCATCATCATCATCATCAGCAGCAGCATCATCATCAGCAGCAGCATCATCAGCAGCGTCATCATCAACAACATCAACAACATCATCATCCTTATCATCAATATCATCACATCAGCAGCGGCATCACCATCATCAGCGTCAGCATCATCATCAACAGCATCAGCATCCTCACCATCATCAGCAGCATCATCAGCATCATCATCATCGTCATCGTCATCAACAGCAGCAGCATCATCAACAACAACATCATCATCAACACCATCGTCATCATGATCATCATCATCACCACCATCACCACCACCACCAACAACACCATCATCATCAGCATCATCACCAGAATCATCATCATCATCATCATCATCATCATCATCATCATCATCATCACCATCACCATCATCATCATCACCATCATCCTCAGAATCATTATAAGCATCATCATCGTCGTTATCAATGTCATCCGTCACAAAATCAGAATCATCATCATCATCATCATCCATCGTCATCAGCATCATCCTCATCATCGCCACCATCATCATCATCATCATCATCATCATCATCATCATCATCATCATCATCATCATCATCGTCAGCATCATCAGCAGCATCATCATCATCGCCGTCATCATCAGCATCATCCTCATCACCATCACAATCACCATCACCATCACCATCGCCACCAGCATCATCGTCACCATCACCACCACCATCGTCATCATCATCATCACCGTCATCAGCATCATCATCACCACCATCATCGTCATCAGCATCATCATCGACATCATCAGCATCATCATCACCAGCATTATCATCCTTATCATCATCACGATCATCATCAGCATCATCATTTGTTTTACTGAGACCGACCTATGGCAGCCAAGTCAAAATGGATTCGAGCAGCAAGCCATTAGGATCAAAAGCTCGACGTGTGGACCCCGCTCGCGCCAAGGTTCGCAAAACGTGCGCGCGCGGCAGAGCTAACGGTGCGCCTGCTTCCACAGTGACCCTCCTCCTCCTTCTGCTCCCCCCCCACTCCACCTCCATCTCCTCTCCCTGCGGAAGCTCGGCCCGCGGATCCGCCCAATCGGCGGACCCGCTGGCCGAAAAACTGAAAACTTGCATAATACACATGTTAACGGTGACCCAGCCGCGGTGGGAATCCTGTGGGGACATCTCTCCTCCAGGGCCTCGCCCCCCGGAGGCCGCTGCGGCCGCGAGCGGAAGGGGGCCCCGCAGGGGCGGAGGCGAGCGGGGGCGGGTGGTCGGCGGGCGGGCCTGTCAGCGGTGCGTCCCGAGGGCGGGCGGCTCGGCGGACGCGCCCAAGACACCGCACAGACCGCCATCAATCCCACGTTGCCTCGGCAAGCCGGGCCGTGCGGAACTCTGCGAGGACTCCGTCGCGCCCTGCGCCGATCAAGCTGGCGGAGTTCATGGAGCGGTCGGTCTCCTCCGTGACGTCACTCGGCTCCGCGTCGGAGCAGATGCACATCATGTCCCTGTTGACGAGGCTGGCCCCCGCCTCGTTGTCGTTGATCGACCCGCCAGGTGCACGACTGCTGGCGCGCTGCTCTTTGATCTTCTGCCATCTCACCTTCCAGCTCGGCACAGCCTTGGGGCCCGCCTTCTTGTCCAACCCGTCCCTATGACGCTGGCACTCAGGTGTGACATCCTCCAGCGACTCGGCATGCGCATCAAACCCAAGCAGGCCACCAATGTCTGCACGCCCGAGTGCGCTCAAGCGCCGCACAGCCAAATTCAGATGCTCCTGCAATGGTAGGTCTTGACGGACGATGATCATGGCGGAGGTATCGCTCATCTTGTTCTGCATCATGACCTGAAGTTCCCCAGCTATGGTCGGCAATCCCTCCTTCACGCCCTTCTTGGTGCGCCACTGCGACTTGGACATTGTCACCGTGACGCCATCTCGGGCCTGCTGCTCGAACAGGGCGGTCTTCCCATCGGCCCAGTCCTCGAGTCTCGACCAGGGAGCTTCGCGAGATGCGCCCCGCTCAATCACTCGGAGGCCCAAGAACGAGTCGCTTTCGTTCTTGGAGTGCGACCGCAGGTAGGAGCGCACCTGCACGACGATACCGCCGAACCAAGCACCCGAGAGCTCAACCGCAGTGATGTACGTGGTGCATGGCTTCCCGTGCTCGGGGCGGATGGTGGCCTGGAGCTCCACCTCGGCGGTCCTGTCAGCGGCCTGCGGGATGCGCAGCAGAGTGAACTCGCCGCCGTGGTTGACGTCGAAATGCTCGCCTTGAAGATTGACCAGGTGCGGGTCACCCTTGGCCGACACCGTCGGGGCCGGGGTCGGCAGCGGAGAGGCTGGGGGTCCAATGCAGCACCCGCCGTCTCCGAAGCCGCTGCCTAGGTAGGGATCGATAACGGTGTTGCTCCCAGCGCACTGCTCGTCACACCTGTACCCGAAATCGCAGATTTCAATGCCGCATCCGCAAGGATACTGCTCGCTGAGTCCGACACCGTTGGTGCTCGAGCAGGCCGAGACGATCGCGTCGTACTTGTTGAACCCCGCGTGCACTCCGTGGTCGAGGATAAAGAAGGGCCCACCTCTGCGGAGCAGAGACTCGTGGTATGGCGACAGCCTCTCGCTGTCATCGAAGCCGATCTTGTCGGTGATGACCAGTCTCTCGAAGTGGCCAGGGTTGCGTGTGGACATGGTGATCCCGTCGCCCTTCTGCAGCACGCGGCCGCTGTCGTCGAGGGCCTTGTTGACGAAGACGACGTCGGACCCAGTTGATATGGGCTCGGTGAGCCATACCCCCGAGATGCAGTTGTCGAAGTCGCCCAGGTCTTCTTTGCCAGGGGCGCAGTCAGTGCATGCCTCCGAGCGGCGTCGCCGAGTGGAGCCCGTGGTGCACTGCTGGCAGACGCTGGTGCCCTCCAGAAAGTAGTATCCGTAGTCACACTCAGCGGGACCCCCGATTGGGAACCTAGACATGTCTTTCGAGTATGGAGAATTGCCACACTCTGCCTGGGTCACGCATCCATCCCCGTTCTCGTCCATCTCGGTAAAGTGCCCGTTGAGATTATCGTCCTTGTTCACCTCCGCTTCCACAAGGCACTCATCACCATCCAAATCAAGGTAAGAAAACGAGCCGCACGCGTCGTCACAAACGCACGGTGCCCCGGGCTCCATCGTCGGCGACGGAGTCGGGAGGATCTCCTCGTAAGTGATCGTCACCGTCATGTTGAGGCCTTGGCCGTCGCATGCCACCAACCAAGTTGTGTTCCCCAATGGGACACCATTAGAATCTGAACTACCATGATGCCCGAAATAAGCGCAGCCCGCATCAGAATCTAAATCCATAGTTGCTGTCATGTTTGGTTCTTCAGAGTCCAGAATCCACCGCGGCTGTGCGTACTTCAGAGGCCGGTCGATGCCATCACACGAATAGTCCCAATATATGTAATTGCCGTCGGTGTTGCTGTACACTGGCGCTCCGCTTGCACTGCTCCCGTAAAACACGAAGTAAGGGCTGCCGATAGAAGTCGTCAGGCACGGCCACTCTACCTTCAGAATGCCCGGAGGAGAACACGAAAAGCCTCGCCTGTCACCTGAGCAGACCTCGTTTGTAACGCACATGTCAGGCCCGCACTGACACGGGTAGAAAGAGCTCGGAGACGATCCATCGGTGACGTCGCACGGCTCAACTGAAGACGTAGGTGCAGGAGTGGGCGCAGGGGTCGGTATCCTGTTGAAGTTGACACTAAGGGCTCCTTGCGGGATTGGATTGGCACAGGTGGTGTTGGAGTCATGCCCATTCGTTGACCCACACTCTGCATCGTAAAGATAGCACCCGCCTTTCCAGACTGACAGGAAGGGGTGAAGACCAATGGACTTGCAGTTTGGGTACAAGGAACACTCCGAGGCACATAACTCGAGAGTCTCGAACTCTTCCGAATAGGCTTTGATCTCTGCTCCGCACTCGCAATTTTGGCCGCTTTGCACGTATCCAGGGTAGGTTGAAACGAGTAGGTCATCCAATTGGATTACTGTTGGCGCTGGAGTTCCGACCTGCTGCTCAGCTCGCTGCTGTGACTTCGGCGCTGCAGCTGCACATGGCTTGGGGCACACGCCGGCGAGCCTGGCTGTGCCGTGCAGGTGTTGCTGGAAGTCCTCGAAGCTGGAATTTCTCGTCAGAGGGCGATAGTACTCTGGGTGCTGCTGGATGCCCGTCCGCATCGCCCACATGACCTTGTCGAAACACTCGTCGCCCGTGACGCTGGTGCGGCACTCCGCTGCCGGTGCAAGCGCTTGCTCCTCTGACTTCGGCACTGCACATGGCTTGGGGCACACGCCGGAGAGCCTGGCTGTGCCGTGCAAGTGTTGCTGGAAGTCCTCGAAGCTGGAATTTCTCGTCAGAGGGCGATAGTACTCTGGGTGCTGCTGGATGCCCGTCCGCATCGCCCACATGACCTTGTCGAAACACTCGTCGCCCGTGACGCTGGTGCGGCACTCCGCTGCCGGTGCAGGCGCTTGCTCCTCTGACTTCGGCGCTGCACATGGCTTGGGGCACACGCCGGAGAGCCTGGCTGTGCCGTGCAAGTGTTGCTGGAAGTCCTCGAAGCTGGAATTTCTCGTCAGAGGAAGGTAGTACTCTGGGTGCTGCTGGATGCCCGTCCGCATCGCCCACATGACCTTGTCGAAACACTCATCACCCTCAACCGAGGTGTGGCAACCCTGCTGCGGCATCCAGATTCCACTGCCGTGCAACACGCCAGCCTGTTGCATCTGCATAAGCTGCATGTCTGCGTGCTCGCTGGAAACAGCAGCTACAAACCCCATCATGCATAATGCCACATGGAAATCCGCCATTCGTGCTCTGGAGGTGGAAGCTGTACGCAATATGTTGATGAAAGCGCAGTTCGATATCGGCAGCTTTACGGACCTGTTCGTTTTGCTTGAGCCCAAATGGGCTCCGGACATCATCATCATCATCATCATCAGCATCATCATCATCATCATCATCATCAGCATCATCATCATCATCATCAGCAGCAGCATCATCATCATCATCACCATCATCATCATCAGTAGCATCATCATCGTCATCAGCAGCATCGTCATCACCAAATCATCATCATCAGAATCAATTACCATCGTCGAGAAGGCTCATCAGCAGAACGGCATGCAGATTCTTCATTGAGCATCATTCAGCACCACCATCATTCATCATACACCATAGCACCATCAGTATCAAAAATCCATAAGGCACCATACATCATCATCATCATCATCTCATCATCATCATCATCATCATCATATCATCTATCATATCATCGCCATGACCATCACCGTCACCGTATCACCATCATCATCGCTAAGCTAGCTAGCAGCAGCGAGCATCATACAATCAATATCACCATCAGCATCAGGCATTTGCATCAGCATCAGCGGCATCATCCGCTGCATCAATATATACACATCCTGACCACTCTCGACCCCATCCCCTGCTCACGAGAGAAGGGGAAAGAAGGAAGGGGAAAATGAGTTAGAGAGATCAATATGGGAGAGATGGAGAGAGAGAGGAGATGATGTGAGGGGGAGCACAGAAAGACATAGAGAAGGGTATCGAAGTACATGTATGTGCTAGACAGAGACAGAGGGGGGCTTGAATAGTGGAGGGAGGCAACAGAGGGAGGAAGGATGACGGGAGGAACTCAGAAAGAATTCCCAAACCGTGTTTGCACGCATGGGTTCTTGCGGGCCGGTCTGGCAGCTATGTAGTTGCCGTCGCCGCATCGTAGCCGCCTCGTCGCCGCCCGTAGTCTGAGCCTGCGGGCCGACCTGGCGGCTATGTGGTTGCTGTCGCCGCCTCGTCGCCGCCCGTGGTGTGAGCCTGCGGGCCGGTCTGGTGGCTATGTAGTTGCCGCCGCCGCCCCGTCGCCGCCTCATCGCCCTCCGCCGCCTGGGCCCGACGGTCGGTCTGGCGGCTGAACTTAGGATCTACCACGCACAGACGCCTTTTATCGGCCCTCCCTGGGCTAGTACGGTTCACATACGAACCAGCCCCATCGTTCACTCTCAATACGAGTTCGCCACATCCCCGCTGAACCCTCAATCGCGCTCCCCTCATCTGTACAAGTAATACTACGCGCGCACACCCGTTGATCAAAATTCAACAGTGAGAAACGAAACCAAATCACACACGCGCGACGTCGCGCGCGCGCATGCCAGAACCCTGGTTTAAGGCATAAGTTTAGTGAGTATTCCAAGATCTGGGCCCCAAAAATATGAACCAAAAAACCAATGGTTGAGCAAATGATGCTTCATAGACAACACCAAAAACAACCGCAACGACGAAAATCACGCGCGCTGTCGCAAATGCTTTCGCAGACTGTATGTGCTCCACCATGTTCATCACATGCGACTAATCGGGCCTCTCGCGCACGCATGCGACTAATCCTTTTCAAAATGTGACTCTCGACTTAGCTCCGCGCACATTTATTTTCAAAATTTGCAAGACTTTTACGGATTCCTGTGTTCGACATACCGAACATGGTGTCTTTTTTTTGGGGGGGATTCAGGATTGAGGGCGCAACAATAACGTTGATTCGCTGTCGAAATCTCAGGAATGGTGTCCCGGCACAACCCAAGATCGTCAAGACGCAACAGCCAGGTTGATCTGTGGCGTCGGAATCCCGAGAACATTGTTTTGACATGCTACCGGGTCTTCCAACGGGTGTCCCCCAACGAGGCAGTTTCCCCAGCGGGGATGAACCGCCGTAGGGGCCCACGAAGAGGGAGCCGGGAGGGAGGGTTGATTCCAACATCGTTGATGACTCTTGGGTTTCCACTGGCCCTCCTCCTCCTCCTCCTCCTCCTCCTCCTCCGCCTCCTCCTCCTCCTCGTCTTCCTCCTCCTCCTCTTCCTCCTCCTCCTCCTCCTCCTCCTCCTCCTCCTCCTCCTCCCTGTGCCAGAACTCATAAGGGCAAGTTTCGGGCCTCCGTGGATGCCCGAGGACTTCGGTAAGTTGCTCTGGCTCAATGATCCCGTGGTGATTGGTTGTCTTCTCTGCCTCCCCCTTACCTCTCACTATCCTCCTCGTTGTGATCTTCCCCGCCCTGCTCCAGGGAAGGGGGAGGGAAACGAGGGAAGGCTGCGTGGAGATGCGCCGCTTCCTCCTCCTCCTACTCCCCGCCCTCCTCCTCCTCCTCATCATCATATCCTCCTCCTCATCATCCTTCTCAGAATCATCATCATCATCATCAGCAGCAGCATCATCATCAGCAGCAGCAGCATCATCAGCAGCGTCATCATCAACAACATCAACAACATCATCATCCTTATCATCAATATCATCACATCAGCAGCGGCATCAACATCATCAGCGTCAGCATCATCATCAACAGCATCAGCATCCTCACCATCATCAGCAGCATCATCAGCATCATCATCATCGTCATCGTCATCAACAGCAGCAGCATCATCAACAACATCATCATCATCAACACCATCGTCATCATGACCATCATCATCACCACCATCACCACCACCACCAACAACACCATCATCATCAGCATCATCACCAGAATCATCATCATCATCATCATCATCATCATCATCATCACCATCACCATCATCATCATCACCATCATCCTCAGAATCATTATAAGCATCATCATCGTCGTTATCAATGTCATCCGTCACAAAATCAGAATCATCATCATCATCATCATCACCATCGTCATCAGCATCATCCTCATCATCGCCACCATCATCATCATCATCATCATCATCATCATCATCATCATCATCATCGTCAGCATCATCAGCAGCATCATCATCATCGCCGTCATCATCAGCATCATCCTCATCACCATCACAATCACCATCACCATCACCATCGCCACCAGCATCATCGTCACCATCACCACCACCATCGTCATCATCATCATCACCGTCATCAGCATCATCATCACCACCATCATCGTCATCAGCATCATCATCGACATCATCAGCATCATCATCACCAGCATTATCATCCTTATCATCATCACGATCATCATCAGCATCATCATTTGTTTTACTGAGACCGACCTATGGCAGCCAAGTCAAAATGGATTCGAGCAGCAAGCCATTAGGATCAAAAGCTCGACGTGTGGACCCCGCTCGCGCCAAGGTTCGCAAAACGTGCGCGCGCGGCAGAGCTAACGGTGCGCCTGCTTCCACAGTGACCCTCCTCCTCCTTCTGCTCCCCCCCCACTCCACCTCCATCTCCTCTCCCTGCGGAAGCTCGGCCCGCGGATCCGCCCAATCGGCGGACCCGCTGGCCGAAAAACTGAAAACTTGCATAATACACATGTTAACGGTGACCCAGCCGCGGTGGGAATCCTGTGGGGACATCTCTCCTCCAGGGCCTCGCCCCCCGGAGGCCGCTGCGGCCGCGAGCGGAAGGGGGCCCCGCAGGGGCGGAGGCGAGCGGGGGCGGGTGGTCGGCGGGCGGGCCTGTCAGCGGTGCGTCCCGAGGGCGGGCGGCTCGGCGGACGCGCCCAAGACACCGCACAGACCGCCATCAATCCCACGTTGCCTCGGCAAGCCGGGCCGTGCGGAACTCTGCGAGGACTCCGTCGCGCCCTGCGCCGATCAAGCTGGCGGAGTTCATGGAGCGGTCGGTCTCCTCCGTGACGTCACTCGGCTCCGCGTCGGAGCAGATGCACATCATGTCCCTGTTGACGAGGCTGGCCCCCGCCTCGTTGTCGTTGATCGACCCGCCAGGTGCACGACTGCTGGCGCGCTGCTCTTTGATCTTCTGCCATCTCACCTTCCAGCTCGGCACAGCCTTGGGGCCCGCCTTCTTGTCCAACCCGTCCCTATGACGCTGGCACTCAGGTGTGACATCCTCCAGCGACTCGGCATGCGCATCAAACCCAAGCAGGCCACCAATGTCTGCACGCCCGAGTGCGCTCAAGCGCCGCACAGCCAAATTCAGATGCTCCTGCATGGTCGGTCTCTGACGGACGATTGTGATCATGGCGGGAGGTATCGCTCATCCTTGTTCTGCATCATGACCTGAAGTTCCCCAGCTATGGTCGGCAATCCCTCCTTCACGCCCTTCTTGGTGCGCCAACGTGGCGACTTGGACATTGTCAACAGTGACGCCATCTCGGGCCTTATTGCTGCTCGAACAGGGCGGTATTCCCATCGGCCCAGTCCTCGTGTCTCAGACCAGGAGCTTCGCGAGATGGCGCACCGCTCAATCACTCGGAGGACCCAAGAACGAGAGTCGCTTTCGTTCTTGGAGTGCGACCGCAGGTAGGAGCGCACCTGCACGACGATACCGCCGAACCAAGCACCCGAGAGCTCAACCGCAGTGATGTACGTGGTGCATGGCTTCCCGTGCTCGGGGCGGATGGTGGCCTGGAGCTCCACCTCGGCGGTCCTGTCAGCGGCCTGCGGGATGCGCAGCAGAGTGAACTCGCCGCCGTGGTTGACGTCGAAATGCTCGCCTTGAAGATTGACCAGGTGCGGGTCACCCTTGGCCGACACCGTCGGGGCCGGGGTCGGCAACGGAGAGGCTGGGGGTCCAATGCAGCACCCGCCGTCTCCGAAGCCGCTGCCTAGGTAGGGATCGATAACGGTGTTGCTCCCAGCGCACTGCTCGTCACACCTGTACCCGAAATCGCAGATTTCAATGCCGCATCCGCAAGGATACTGCTCGCTGAGTCCGATACCGTTGGTGCTCGAGCAGGCCGAGACGATCGCGTCGTACTTGTTGAACCCCGCGTGCACTCCGTGGTCGAGGGTAAAGAAGGGCCCACCTCTGCGGAGCAGAGACTCGTGGTATGGCGACAGCCTCTCGCTGTCATCGAAGCCGATCTTGTCGGTGATGACCAGTCTCTCGAAGTGGCCAGGGTTGCGTGTGGACATGGTGATCCCATCGCCCTTCTGCAGCACGCGGCCGCTGTCGTCGAGGGCCTTGTTGACGAAGACGACGTCGGACCCA